AAACTTTGTAATCTTATTCAACAAAAAAGCTTTTTGTTAAAAAGTTTCAAAAATTATATAATTATCGCTTTTATTACTTATCAAAAAAATGTAAAAATATGAATAATACAATGTTCAAAAAAAGTAGAAGTTTTTGAAAAGCAAATTTTCAACCATTAATACATTTTGCAATTCAAAAAGCAAAACTAAAGCATACTCATAACAAATGATTTGTAGAAAATCATTGAAAAGTGTAATGCAATTTTAAGCAAGTTGTAAATTATTTGCTTGGTATCTTCAAATTTTTTGTAATATTCTCTTTGATTTGATAGTAAATTGAATAAAGAATGTAGTAGGTTATACAATTAAAGTTGTAAATTAAATAATATTACTTATGTAATCAAATTTTAAAATCTTCTGAAATAGTAGTGAAACTGGTGAATAGAATAAAGGAATTGTAAGCTTGATATCTCGTTGCGATTTCTCTCTACAAGTATTTTATATTTCTTATGGTCTGAAAATTTTTTTAGAATTGTTCACATATGTATGTTATTATCATTTATCTATTTTATTTAAAAAATGTTTACTTTACTTTTTTTCAGCAGAATTTTTTTTTTGATAAAATGAGATGCCTGTAAAAATGTAATGCTTTTAAACAATATATTAACTAAGTAATCATCTTTAACTATACAAAACAGAAGTAATAATTTAAGTAAAAATTAAATTCAATGCGCATAATTCTTCAGTCATCTGTGACTTCATTATCGTTTGAAATATAAAAGTTTTACTGATTCACTACGTGAGGTCATACAGTGTAATCGAAGTTAACAGTTAGTTGTTTAATATTTGACACAAAATTACTGTTAGAGCACGCAGCAATTTTTGCTACTTTTAATATACATTGTTGAAATCATATAAGTTAAAAAAAATTGTCTATTTTTGCATGCTTTTTATGATAAATGCTTAAATTGAATAAATAATATTTTGCACAGAAATAACTGTCTAATAGGAGACAAATCTTACCAAAACAGTAATCAAGCTTACTTACCCTGGAAATGGATGCTGTGGTAGAGGTGACAAATAACTCATCGTTACTGCTTCAGCATTAACTTATACACATACAGTGTCCACAAATACTACTGCAAGTTTGTTATGCACAAGAATTTAGTGTAAAAATCGTTGATTTAAATGAGTAGTAAATAGTAAGAGATGCAGAAATATCATAGATAGATATTCTTGGCTCTGAGCTTAAGTTTGTGTTACATTTTTAACTTTAAGCTCGAGAAACAACATTTCGTACTACGTTTTTCACTAGTGTTGAGTTAAAAGTTGATTTACATTCTCAGTATTTATTACAAAGTGTTGTGTCTCGAGGTATGCTTCAAGCTAGAATTACTCACCAAATTTTTCTTTTTGCAAATATATGTGCTTTATAATTGCAAACAATAATAGTAGCTCTATATAATAAATTTTTTTTGCATTGGTATGAATATTCTTTTTTGAATTTCTTTTACAATAGCTTTCTATGATTAATTCTTTAAAAGAAGCAAAAGTCAGTGGATTAGATTAAATTTTTAAAATCAGATTAAATTTTCAAATTATTGAATACGAAATGGTAAAAAGTAGCAATTGACTGAATACTTGATACAACATTTTCAAGTAAAAATGAGTCAAAGCAAATTTTCATTTCTTTGTCATGTTTATTGCAGTTTTCACTATGTCTAAAAACTCATGAGATTGGATAAAATGGAAAATTGTAGTGATTATTTTAAAAAATGATAAAATAATTCGAAATTTTATCAATCATACTAAAATAAATAACACGAAAAATTATCAACCTGTCAGTAGCTAATTATCCCAGTTAAGACAAGTGCTAATAATTAAGGAGTAGATTTGCATGGGTTTAGATTTAATATAAAAAGAGGCAGAAAGCTTTGTTAAATACAGAGAATCCATTTTTTTAAAAATTTTATTCACAAAAGTTTTGCTAGCAATAACTTTTGAAAAATCTTCATGATTTATATCAAAGGTATTTTATTGCAAATAACAATAAACTTCATTTCCAGCAAAATTAAAGATTAATTTGAAATATATGAAAAAATTTATTATTACAAATTAATATATTTATGTTTTACGATTCATTTGGATTGACCTTCATGCGAAACAACAAACTGTAAAACTAACAAGTAACACAATACTGACTGCATTTAAATACATTACTTGACAAAATTTTAATTTCAGTACTACAAATTTATGAAAACGTTATTACAGCTAAGAGCAAATTGTTGTTATTACTGTGTTAGATGTAAATAAAATATAATGGAATAAAATTAAAAATAATTTAATAGCTACAGCTGAGAATAGCTTGAGCAATCGAATCTCAATCTTTAGGTTTGTGATCTTCAGATTTTTGTTCTAGCAAAAAGCATGCACAATTGATTTACTCAATAAACAGCTGTCGCAAATTTTTAATTTTTTACTACTTTCTAAATCCACAGAGTCAAGTTTTTGCTCTTTGACATAGCAGTTCTGTTGCAAAAATGATTAACAAAACAATGATAATTTTTAAAAAAATAAAATGAAAATATTACGTACATACTATCTTTGTAGTATTTCACGTATACCTCAGCTGATCGAAAATCTACAACAGAAAGTTTACGTTCGTTTACTCAGAATTAATGATGATTTTTTAAGCAGAATGTGATCTTATATTTTAAACTTGCGTCAAATGTAGTCCCTGTGTACTTATACATTTTTATATTAATTTATTTCACACAAATTAGTACCTTTAATTCTATATATTTATTTATTCACGCATTCATTAAAGATATTTTTGATCATAATTAAAAGCTTGTACTAATTATCAATCGTTATTTCATTCACAAAACTTCGACATCATTTTTTTTAATTTTAAATTATCTATCACACAAGCGTTTTATTCCTTCTGAATCTGTAATACTCATTCGACGCTTTAAGCATACTTTTTATCAAATAACTACAAAAATTATGCAAACCAATAGGAAGCATCAATTAGCTAAATCACAAGCATTTAAAACTGAATCGACTGCTTTCAATAAGTTGACTCAGTTTCAAATGCTTGCAATCTTTGCTTTCCTTTGAATAATATAAATTTGATGAAAAGTTCTCGTTATTTATTTATGTTCATATAATTCAATCATACACTGCAGCAATAATGATGAAGCTAAGAGTAGTAATACAAACTGCTCACGTTATTATCAAGCAGTAATACATGAAATAGTATGGAGAACGACAAATGAAAGAATGAATATCTATGTTACGATCACAACAAATTCAACATTTGTCTGTCTATGTAATGTAATGATATTACACAAGTGAGTGATGACTGGTAATGACTTACTAGGAATTTTGATCTTACTGAAAAATGGGTCACTTTATCTGAAATATTTGTGAAACATTTTCATTTAAGTAATATTAATGACTGACAATCACAACTTTATAAATATCGCTCAATTCCTCCATTGACAACAAAAATAATAATGAAAATTATGGAATGCCGTAGAGATAACCTTAATGATTTGCATTTATTTAGAATGATTACTTTGTGAACTGTTTCCCTACATCCTCTTTAAGACATGCTCCTCACTCTTGAAATTTTGATAAAAATTACTGACTTTTATCAAAACAATTGTAGATTAGCATGTTTTTACTTCGAGCAAACTGCTTTAGTCAGTACTGTTTTGAAAAAGTTGAAATATGAAATTTACTACTTACTCATATTCATCCAAAAATAGGTGTAGGATATTACTTCCTGTAACCCAACATATTTAATACAAAACAAGTTTCAGAAATAACGTCAATGCATCATTTGAAGGCCGGAAAATTGAAAGTGTAACGAAATATGAGATTGTTCGTCTTCAAATGAACACATGAAAAAGCATTCTTCCACTACTAGGCATCAGACATGTCAATAACCCATTACGTTAATAATGTCACAAAAGACCGCCTTGAATGTTTGCTTTGAAAATTATTGTACTGCTTTCTAAAAACGAGAGTACCCAACACCGGAGCTCCAATTAAAAATATGCCCACACAAATATTAATTATTCAGTTATTCTAATAAATAAATTAATAATAGCCAAATATTCTACATTGATGATCACTACAGTTAGCAACAACTGCAGCATATCCAGATTAAATACATTTCACTGAAATAAAACAATACACAAGATTTAGCTATATTTCTTACTATCGCCCTCAGTAAAACAATTCGCTTCTTTAATCACTGCAGCGCTCTGATCTCCAATATTACAATCCTCATTACAGGATTTAGCTTCAGTGTTAGGGATACGACACGTTGGATACATGACCGCATCAAACGCCACCCTCCAAGATTCTGGCAACAACCGGAACACTATTGGTTGAATAAATCTAATGTAAATGGCCAAAACGATCGGCAATAATATGCATGGTACACAAACCATTTTTCGTACACGAATTTTGCTGCCTTTCAATTACTGAAAAACTAACGTTAAATTAATGGCACATTGTGAATCTGGTACACAAAATACAAAAAATATCCGCACCAATACAATAATTTCTGAATAGAAAAATACTTTTGTGTATTAATATGCGCAACCAAAATCAATCAGATTTTTAGAAGAAATTTCGGGCAACAGACTACCTTTTGAGCAATATAGAATAAGCAATTGAAATCAAATTTACTGCATGTACAAAACTTTAAACAGAAAATTAAAAATTATAACAAACATTTCCAGATATCTCAAACAATGAATAACAATGAATTCCAATTTTCAACCAGTACATGATCCAGCGACAAAATTGCAGTGTCTTAATCCACATAACACATTTTAACAATTAATTGTACACTGTGTTAGATCACAGCTTCATCTGTAAACAGTGACTTATACAAACTAGCAACCTATACAAACTAGCAATTTTTTTGTCGCTGCATACCTTTCATCCTTGGATTAGTGTTTAAACCATAAAAAGTGAAAGAATCAGTCAAGATTGTCAAAAAAATGAGCAGCTTTCGAAACGGCTGCAATAATCACATCTATGGAACATTATGGTTTGCGCCTTTTAAAAACTGCTACAAAGAACCCATTCGTGAGATCAGTTTCAGGTTCAGCTCTTAAGCATTTGTAGCCAAATCGATAGCTTGTTTTACCACGATGACGCCATTCCGGTAATGCTTCTACCAAGTAGAAACATTTTTTAAAAACTGGATCATTTAACACCTGGAAAGCACGATGTCATGTACAAATCGGTGTTTTAATTAAAAAGTAGAAAAGAGATCAATACTAAGAAGCTAACAAGTTCTAGCTAATTTTACTCAAATTATCCATATGTACTTTAACAATTAGATGGTTTCATGAAGTTCTTATTATAAGGGCAATCTATCAATCCAACCTCGTCAATGACACCTTCATTCTCTTCTTCATGAATTGAGCACGTTGAATAAACAATTTTCTTTAAACTCGGTAACTTTGATAAGTGCTTCAAAAGCATTGCCTGAAGCTAACACAATTTTTACAGAAATTAATCAAAATGTTTGAAGTTTCTTAAATAGCAAAATCAAAATAATGCATAAGAATTCCTTGTCTAGAACTCGATTCATCGAATATCAAAAACAAAGATTTGAATCAATGATATGAATAGGCATCAAGTACGATCCTTTTATAAACGTCCAATTGGTAAAATCGAGCACCTGTAAATTTGACAAGGATCGCAAACGACTGCCGTTTATTGCTTCGTCATGAACTAAAGAGTCCAAACGCTTCACCATCCCAGAACCACTACATGGAGGATCGAGTAATGCAAACTCCACCTAAGATTACTAAATTTTGCAGTCAAAGGATTTGTTTATTCATGTTCTTATTTATTTACATTTTCTGCACTTTGATGAAATTTTAAAAACGAGAAAATCAGTGCTAAGATGATAAAACTACTTTTTTAATACTATCTATAATCCAATCAGAGACCATGAAATTATTTTAGATGAAAACTTTTAACAATTTTAATTTGAAATACCTTGCTATATTTAACATCATTTATATTAACACAAAGGAAGTCTTTACAGTAAGTAATAACATTCGTTGCACCTGCTCTCTGAATTATTGTACGCAAAGTATCAAGCCGATTACTGGCTTGGTCAATTGCCCAAATTTTCCTGAAATGTAAAGTTTTAATACATGAAAATTCGACACTCAAAATGACTCTTGATCTCAACCCTTCACTAGTTAGTGAATTAAACAATTGTGCCCCCACACATTAAATTTCGTCATATCAGACTCCATTCAAACACTTTTTGTAAAATCAGTAAGCATTTCAATCTCTCACCCCTCATTTTGAATTAAAGCTGCAAGATGTGAAGTTTTCATCCCTGGTGCAGCACAAATGTCAAAAACATGAGACCCCGGTGTCGGTTCCAGAACTTGACTGGGTAAACAACTAGCCTAAACATGTAATATTTTTGTTCTCGTACTACTAAGTTGTACCCTAAAAAGGAAAGTATTAAATCTGTAAAATGAAGTAAAAAGTTCTCGATATTAGTTTGCCAACGATTTCTTTAGAATACTAAACACTCTCTATATAGAGAATTAAAAAGACACTAAAAGCAAAACGAGTAGAAGGGCTGCATCGTTTAGAAACCTGTAAAGACCTCAGGCAGACGTAAAATACTACAGGATTTGTAGAAATTCAATTCTTAGATTAAATATGAAAGGAAGTTAAAAGCTGTTAATGCCACTGTATTTGATACGAATCAGAAGTTCTTAAAAAACAGGCAGCAAAACGAATGACTTGTAATTTTACGATTCTCAAGTGTACCTTATCTTGCAATATTAGATATCCTTTCGTAACCATCCAAGAATCATGTAAATCAACAAAAGGGCAGAAAATAAGTAGTTCTTTTACATGACAATCAATGTAAACATAGTCTTTTGGCATAGAGATAATGGTATCTCTAAACCATGTTTCATTATTTTGTGGTTTCAGAGATGAAATCGTCCATCCATCTTCTTGCAAGGCTGCAATGTTTCACAAATAAAAAGTTTATACAAGAAAAGACTTTGTCGCGAAAACAAAGAGATATTACATTTTAAGGCCTCGTCAACCGACCATTTCAGCGTATTAACTCTCGCATATCTTGGGGTTTCGCTTATTACTGACGGCCGTTTAACGACTATTTTCGCCTTTTGAATAGCATCTTGCATTGTTTCCAACTTCAAAAGATAGCAATGACGAGTTTGCTATTAAATTTTTTTTAAACTTGAAAACTTGGATAGAGATTAAACCTGATTATGAAGAAAAGAAAAAGGGCTTATTATCAAATACACTTTAGGCAATATGAATTAGAAAATTTTGAAGTTAGTTTTAAAATTATTAATTTTAAAAAATGTCTGCTAGCAAGAAAAGATAAAAGTATATAAAAGTAATTGGTATCAGTAATAATAGGGTATGAAGTTATTTATCAACGGTGTATTTACAAATGAATATGAAAAAAATGAAATCTTATAAACCGTACATATTTTTTATCATAAAGTGTAACAAACTATGAATGTGAGAATCAAAATTCCGTTAAACTCACTCGTTTATTGATGTATTCAGCTCGTTCTAAGATAGCATCCGAATATAGTTTGCGTGCATTGTTTAACCCATAGCCAAAAACATAATCGTACAGCAACACATAAAGCAAATATTGGTTAATATAGGGCTTCTTCAGTAATTCATGCACTTCCTTCACTTCCATTAGTTGGTTCAAATAATGTCGATTACGTAATGTGTTACAGCACAAACGTAATAATTGCTTCTTATTCTAAACAAGCATCATAAAACTATTGGCGAAACCTAAATTGGAAAATCTAGAATTGAGATGTTAAAATCAAAAAAATATATAAGTACATGTAAGCCATGTTTAGAACTTTAATGAATAAAACATTAACCATAGTACTATCCTCCCCCAACTATAACTTAGAAAATTTTCGATGTATTTAAGAGGATGCAAGAGAAGAAAAAAGATAGCACTTTAAGAAATAATGCAAAATTTTAGTTTCCAAGTATGCTGATCAATATTCAATACTCCTGAGCATTACATTATACAGTACCAAAAATTACTGAAATTTTTTGGCAATTCATTCTGCTTTGTTTCAACTAAAGAATACACTACCAATACATGTAAGTTAATAAATAAAAATAAAACAAAAAGATAATCGATAAAGTATTGGATCAAATTACTAGCTAAAAATGAATAATTATTCTTGCTCGAGCAGTTCATAATAATTTAATTCATTTCGTTCAGTTCAAAAGATCAACGTATGCCACAGCATATGAACTGAACATACCTGAAATTCACTGGCATAGACGGCATTGCGAATGTTCTTTTGTTTATTCATCGTCTGTTCCAAAACCTTTGCCGATTCGCTGTACAAATCAGACATTGTTGGTTGAGAAGTTTAGCTGCTTTACGAACTAACTAATCTGAATTATCACTTAGTTTAATAAATTAGTTGAACTAACAAACCTAAATTATCAATTACTTTGATGAATTAGCTCTGATTAAATTCGATTTTACTCGAAATGAAAAGCCAATAATTCTGGCAAGTAAGGAAAGAATTTATCAGTTACCTATCTAAACCCACACTGCAACAGTAAATACCAGATATACAAGATTTATTACATTATTGGCAAGAAAAATAAGCACAACCGCCTAAGATTTGTACTTAAAACACGAATAACGTACTCTAAAACTGACTGAGTTAAATTGTTGCATTTAATTCCATGCAATAGAACCTGAAATGAAATTTTATTGAGACACATGTGTTATTCTCTAACCAATTTTTTTCTCCCTTGGTTGGAAATGCGTTGCTAATTTCTCAGTTATTATTTCCACGACTTGGTTAGGATGCGAAAATTCGTTCAACTAATTCAAAATGATTAATTTTAATTAATATCTATTTAAATGCCAAAAAAAATATACCATTACAGAGATTTTAATTGATAAAATAAACTAATTTTGTGAAAAAACTGAAGGAAAATGCGAAAAACCAATATTTTTTACAGAAATTTACGTAGAAAAGCTGCTCACATTATTCTTGATTGAGTTTTCTATCATTCTAAAACTATATTTCAAATTTTGTGTCATTATTGTATAATTAACATCAGAATCTCTTTGCTAATTATTAAAAGAAAATTTATATGAGAAGTATAAATTGATTGAAGAAAAATGAGTGAATGTGAATATTATATTAATAGATGGATAAAAGCAAATATTATTTTGATACTTTCTTGCCTGCTTAGTTAACGAAAGCAAATTAGCTCAGTTGAAATTCCACTTTCTTTCTTTTTTCCAGCTGTATTTTACAACACAAATTCTGTCCTATTACTGAATATTCTTCTAGTTCTTTCGAATGAATAATCAAATGCATACTACTTTCCAGTTATTCCATCAATTAACTGATAATTAAATTTATTTATGTATGTCATAAGTATTACTCTTAACAATGCGTCATTTGTGTTGCTAATTGATCAGCCCTAATTTGTTTAAATATTGTACACCTTTTATTTGATTTATATATTTGTTCTCTTAATTTTTATTACCAATCTTGAAGCATTGTGTAAATTTAAGAATGATTAGCATAAATTGAGTGGTATGATGGCTTTAAATATTGAGTTGTAAAAAGTTTAAAGTAATTGTAATGTTGAATTGATTCAAGTCAAAACTATGTTTATATTATACTTTTGGTAAGAAAAACTTGATTGCATTTCTGGATAATTTGCTCTTTCAGTACTGTACTAAATTAATGCCTAATTTGATCAAATTGATAAGTTTCAGTAATCAAATTACTGCGATTCATAGTCTTCAATTAGTAAAAGAATGGCAAGCTTAAATTTGAGGCTAATTTGTTGAAGAAAAAAGCATATTTGCAATACTAATAGTTTATTTCGTCGAAGGCTGATATAACCTGAATAGCATCAGACGTTCAACACTTCTATGGAAAATACAAGTTCAAGATACGAAAAAATATCAACAAGAAACAGAAAACAAAGTTGAAATTTGAAATAGATTACAGAGTGAAATCAAAAGCACAGTACTTTTTTTCAGCAAAAGTGAGACAAGCAGAAATTTTGAAAAATGACATAATTTTGTAATTCCGTTTCTATTGTCAAAATGAAAGTGTGGAAATTATTTTTACAAATTAATGAGCATTTGAGAAAAATTTACATCAAGGCTAAATAAAGTAATAGTGGATAAATTGAAAGCAATTATAGATACAAGAGAATTTAATAATAGATTCAGCGATCAGCAATGGATAGAACAGATTATTAAAACGTATTATTGGTACAGTATTATTATATTCGTTAATTAAATTACTTAAACAGTATATTTGTGAAACTGAAAGAAAAGTCCATTGAAATTGATCTGAAGAAGAAAAAGAGGAAGGTAATGTTAAACTGATAGCTTTAAATGTAAATAGATGATAATATGAGCAATGGATATATGTAAATTGTTGAAGGAAAGTAGCAAAAGTAAGAGTAAAAAGAGAAGGCATTTGATTGAAAATTTGCGATTATAAAAGGAACTCAAAAAGTGAAAGTGTGTGCATATGAAAATATGCATAGCTGCAGCAGATAATGATAATGATAATAAATTGATAATAAAACATAATAATAATAATAGATATAATAATGATAATAATAATTATGATGATAATAATAATAATAATAATAATAATAATAATAATAATAAATTGATAATAAAACTAATAATGATAGTAATAATAATGAAGTGTACAACGAAGCGGAAATTCCAAAAAGTGTCAGTGTCAGAAAATTTTTCGCAAACGAATCATGCCTTCAACAATTGTAGAAAATTAAAATTTTTCTCTTGTATTTATACAAAATGGTGAAAATCTCTAAACAGAACGAGTTTAATATTGTTGAAATGAAATTTTATTCTTTTAAAAAAATTGCTTCAAACGAGGTCATACAGAGGATTACGATGGAATTGGCAATCTCACTTAACCTGAATGAATTTGAAAGCATGCAATCCCCTTTGTGGCTCAAAAGAGATTATTTGCTTATGATTAGATTAATGAATAGAAATGATTATATGAAACTGCTAGCATATGAATAGATCGAGTAGACCAAAGTAGCTGTATGAAATAGTTTTTAGCAATTTTTCAGTTTAGATGCAAAACAAAAAGTTGCTTTGCACAAAAAGTACAGTAATATTAAGCAAACAAGAAAAGAAAGAATGAAATTTCTGAGATTGATTGGAAAAATTGAGAAAAGTGTAGTAATTCACAGCAATAAGCGATAATTTTTTACATATGATTACAATAAAATCATAATATTAACAGACATGACTCATAGAGCCTACATGGGAATAAGGTTGAACTGAAAAGGAGAAGAAAAGTAAGTTAGTAGTGAGTGAATGAGTGAGTAAGTGAGTGAAAGACTACGAAATTGCCTTATACAGTAATCCATAGATTAACTATCCTGGATGCAGACTGTAGTTTACATTTAGCATTCAGCACGAATGCATTTCACAAAAAATAAAGGTAAACACGTAAAGAGGAAAGGTCGCGTGTTTCGTTACATATCACGTCGAACTTCAAGTTCGCGTTTGGCATTTTAGACTTTTCCAGATTTGGATCGTAATAATGTGACTGCCACAACGAGAATGACGCTGAACAGCAAGAAAGCAAGCATACTAGTGATGGTAAATCCGGTTACTGACATGCAAATGCCTTGATTCATTGTAGCAATAACAACTGGGTGCCCCAATGAATGTGATTGAAGTCGATGACGCAATGAACTGGGCAATGAGGCGAACTGAAGACAAACTTTGATAGTTATTTGATTTAAATATCTTCTTTTAAATAATAAGCATTAAAGAATAACTAAACTGTAAGTTATAAACTGAAAATAAACTACTTTATGTAAAAATAATCAAAGCGTGTGCTGTAAATGTCATAATGAGTTTGAGTGGGAAGAAGATTATTAAGAGAATTTTATGGACTAAAAAAGAATTATTTCAGTTTCAGTTTTTTTATGACCAAAATGGAATTTCAATTTTTTTAAATTCTGAATGTTTTATTTGAAAGAATATTTTATTGTTGCATTGATGTGATTTAGTTATGAATTATTAAAGCTTTGTTAATTGCAGTTGATATAAAAAGTTAAATAATGATAAGTGATGAATTGAGCCAAATAATAATATCATAAAAAAACAAACTTCTTCATTAATATCCAAAGCACTAAGGTCAGTACGAACGTCAACAATATTTTCATTATTCACATCTCGTTTTTTGAGTACTCTGAAAGCTGCAGCTTGTCGAGATGCAGCAGCGCCTGTTTGAGTTCTTGTTGCACCAAATCCTTCTGGTTCAGGGCATTGAGGTCGTGGACAATCACTGTTGGGTTCTTTGATAGTTATGCTAATTTGGCACTGATAGAACAATTGCGATCGATCAGCGTATTTGTACACATGAGCTTCTTGCCCAGCCATCAAATCTATAACAATTTATTTTTGGGATTAAAGTAACTTTAATTGCATAAATTATTTTTGTAAGTGGACAAAATCGAAAAAGCATTCAAAATTTTCTCAGCATAATCTTTTGGATAGAAAAGTTTTGTAATTTAATAACCATACGACAGAAACTGTAAAACATAAAAAGGTGCAACTTTATTGTATGGAGGTTAAATTTAAGAAAAAAAAAGATGCATGCCCAAGAATTACCTGTGGGATATTCTAGGTTATTGAGAAGATATTTGTCCAAAGCACAACCATCAGCATTCAGCAATTCAACTTTGTCACCGTTTCCATCATCAACAAAGCAGGAATGTACTACGGCACAGAATGTATCTACAGTTTCAGAATCACAAGTCCATTTATGGTATGCCGGTTGACCAATGGTGGCAAATTGAATTGGTTGTCCGGATGGTCCGCCATCCAAAATCTGAAAAGTAAGTTAAAGACTAATTAATGATTGTTACATTTGGTGATTTATTATTAAATTTAATTTTAACAGATTAATTAATTGATAATCGAGTTTGAACTAAGAATCACTAAAATGAATCATTTATTTTGTAATTCCTCAGATATTTTTTTAAAAGTAATTAATATGATGACATCAGATTGGAGTTCTGTATTTTTAGGCGTTTCATCCATTTGTATGTTGAAAAGATTACCTCGTATCGGCACACAGGCATTGGTACAATTTGTGTAGCGAAAGCAGTTGTTACTTCGGACACTTCAATTTGAGTGCTTACAGTTTTGTCGGCTTCCATGTAGAAGCACTGTACGCGATAAGCACGATCAACTTTTGTTACGAATAATGGATGGAATGAAATGACAACAGTTGTAGTCACAAAGATTCCACGTGGATTTAGTGAACGTGTTCTGGCTACATTGCAAGAATCAAATGGTAATTCGATTCCAGCTACTTGTCTGCCACCTTCATCATTGCGGCATTCTTGTTGATCATATAATCCTTTTACATAAACGTGTCCTAAAATGAAAAGATTTGATTTAATTCAAAAACTACAAATCCATACATTTTTTTACACTAAGTTTTAGAAATTTCAAAATATAAACTACTTGAATGACACTTTATCACAGTTTAGTTAATTTATAAATCCAAAGTATTTGCAAATTATTTTCAACATTTTGCTTTGAATACAACCTAACATTTTTAAATTTTTAAATATAAAAGCTTATTTTTTTGGCTGTAAGTAGTTTGCATATTAATTGATACTTCAGGTCTCAAACAATGATCAAGAAATTTTTATTTTCATTTAATTTGTTAGTATTACAAACTGAGAGTGAAAAATTTATTAAAAAACTGATAAGAATTAACTAACCTTCGAATGGATTTTGTGTGTTGAAATTAACAGTGATGGATGTGGGACCGCATTCGATTTCTGGTTCACCTTCTACACCGTTATCAACGGGGATAGACACAGCATAAGTGATTAGAGACAAAAGCGCTAATAACGCAAGCATTGTTGGATTCGTGCAAATTTTTGAGAAAATTTGAAAGAAATCAGGGATAATAGTAAACTTCAGCGCTTCCCGTAGATTATTGTTGCTACTGTTGATGCTGTGGCTGAGATATCGTTGTTCAGTAGTAGTAGTAGTTGTTGCTGTAGTTGAAGTAGTAATAGTAGTTGAAATCAAAGCAGAAATACTAGTAAGTTACTGTTATTGTTGCTGTTGTTGTTGCTGTAGTAATCAAGTTGATATGGTTTGTGATATGTAAGGAAAGTCCTTATATAGGAATCAGATTTGGGGTTTACTGGCAATATTGTTCCGCCCTTCTGGATATCTTAGAAAAAAGCACGTCCTCATCCATCCTTTCAAAGGTGAATTATTTCCAAGCGACCCAAATTCTTGTTTTCATTTTCTTTCCTCTTCTAATATTCTTCAAGTTTTTGTTTTTAGTAGTAGTAGTAGTAGTAGTAATAGTAGTATTTATTGTTATTATTGTTGTTAATATTTTTGTTACTATCTTCTTACTCTTACTATTGCCATTCATTTTTCTCTTATCAGTACTGTCCGCGCATAACCCGCGGCAAAAAATTACCATTGTTTTCTTCATATCTCTTCTATAAAACTAATGATACTTTGTAATTTTTCTTTTTTTTTGCACCATCAGTGCCATTTTTTGCCATTTTTCCAAACTATTCAAAAATTATCTCACACTATCTGATTACACATCAAACTTTCAAACTTTTACTAATCAATCAATCTATTTTTACATCGATTACTCAATTAATTAATTCATTCATTCATGCATTAACCAGTAAAGCTATTTCAACCTTTCCCTTTTAATGCATGTAAATTTTCTCTTTTTTTTTTCAATTCTTAGCTCGCTATAGATATCATCATACTAATGCTTAAGTACTTTATTATCAATTCGTTATTTCATTATTCAATTCAATAATGAATAAGTAAATAAATAATTATTTAAGTAATTAAATAGTCATCGAGAGCGAAAACATATTTAGTGATTATTATTTATCAAAATTTTCACTTCTTTTTGTTTGTCTTTGCATTTCTTTTTCCTTTGATTAAAACAGAACAATAGGCTGTCAAATTTATTACTTCTTTATTCCTTTACTATCTTAATTATAATGATTATTTATCACTGATATCATGATTACTGCGATTATTTTAATTATAATTACCATAACTATAATTAGTCTTGTTATCACTTTGATTATCCTTAACATCACCATTATCGCCATTTTCTGGATTCTTTGTAGTCTATTTTTGATTGTTGATCACTCAGATACACACATGCACATTGTTATCTGTATTAAATGTTAGTTAAAGTGGAATGAATCTTCATTCTAGTGATAATGGGTATGTAGTATAAAGTGCCTTAGGCTATTACGTTTTAATTCAGGATAATAGAATCCCGTTGTTATTGTGGTACTGATAATGATGATAATGGTGATAACAGTCAGCAAACCAAGGACATATGAAAAAATAAAAACGATGAAAAGGGAAATGAGGGGAGAAAGCAATGAAATTTTTATTTGTCATTGAAATCCATAGAAAAATCAAATGAAATTGACATAGTAGAAAATTGAAAACTGATTAAGAATAACAGTCGAGAAGTGACTCTTTTTTAATTTCATTGTTCTTTGCCTTAGTCCTTTGCTCGCATTCATTTTCTTGATGTTTACAATAAAAATTTCACTTTTTTTCTTCTTATTGTCATTTTTGTTTTGCCTTTG